GTTCATGAAATAAGCAGGCGCGTTAGTCAGACCAAATGACATAACGGTATACTCATATAGCCCGTACCTTGTGGTAAAAGTTGTCTTGGGTATATCCTCCTCTCGGATCTTCAGCTGATGGTATCCTGATCGCAGATCGATCTTGGAAAATACTTTAGCTCCTTGCAACTAGTCAAACAAATCATTGATCATCGGAAGTGGGTATTTGTTCTTGATCGTTACTTCATTCAATGCACGATAACAACAACCATCCTTAACAACCCATCCTTCTTCTCCACTAGAAGTACTGGGGCTCCGCAAGGTGACGAACTTGGTCGAATGTAACCCTTATCTAGTAACTCCTTAATCTTCTTCTTAATTTCTTCCAAATCCTTTGCGGGCATCCGATACGGTCTCTTTGATATTGGCCCAGTGCCTGGCAAAAGCTCAATCAAAAGCTCAATGTCTCAATCCAGTGGCATGCCTAGCAACTCTTCCGAAAATACATCAGGGTAATCCTTCACCACTGGTACTTCCTCATGTACAACTCCTAATAAGGAATTCACTTGAGTCCTCTTCGGCACGCGACGGGATACATACTTGATCCTTCTTCCTTCTAGGGTGGTGAGCATAATCGACTTACTAGCGCAATCGATGTTTCCTCCATACATCGATAACCAATCCATACCCAAAATCACATCCAATCCTTGCGACTCCAAAATTATCAGATCCGAGGGGAAAACATGCCTACCTATGGTCAATGGCATATGTAAACATCCTTGACTTGCCATATGCTCCGCTCTTGGCGAGCTTACTAACATAGGTGTCCTAAGAACTTTGGTGGGCAATTTATACTTATCCACAAATCCCCTTGATATGTATGAACATTATGCACCAGTATCAAAAAGAACGATTGCAGTAAATGGCTTAACTTGAAAGGGTTGGGCTTTTTCCCAGAGCTTCCATTGCCATTTCCATTCTTTGCTTCAGAACACTCGGTGGCGTAATGTCCATTCTTCCCACACTTGAAACAAGTAATGTGACTTAGATCCTTATTGGTGGGCATTGACGGGTTAGAATGGTTCTGGGTGCTGCTTCCTCCATTCCCATTCCCATTCTTGGGGCCACTATGGCTATGCGTACTTCCTCCATTGGAATTATGGTCTCCATGGTTATGGTGAATGTGTCCTCCCGAGTTTGGGGTAAAACAAGGTCTCTGTTGAGCTCCTAGATTGTACTTCCCTTGTCCATACTTCCTCTTGCGGCTATCTATCTGTTGCTGCTTCCCTTCAATCATAAGAGCTCTATCTACCAACTCCTGGTAGTTGTTGAATGTTGCCACCATCAACTGCATGCTCAGCTCATCATTCAGTCCTTCCAGAAACTTCTCCTGCTTAGCAGCATCTGTAGCTACGTCGTCAGGGGCATAGCGTGCTAACTTACTAAACTCATCCACATACTGGCCCACTGTGCATCCTCCTTGGCGCAAGTTGCGAAACTCACGCTTCTTCATGTTCATAGCTCCTGCTGAAACATGGTCAATGCAGAAAGCCTGCTGAAACTGATCCCATGTAACAGTGTCAATGGGGTAAGTGGCTGTGAAATTCTCCCGCCATGATGATGCGGGTCCATCAAGCTGATGTGCAGCAAAACGCACTCTCTCTGCATCTATGCATCCTGAAGTGGTCAGCTCCCTTCCAATCTTGCGGAGCCAATCATCTGCAACAATCGGCCCGGTGCTACTAGAGAACACCGGCGGATTCAGCCTTAGGAAACGGGCTAAGTGATCAACAGGTGGTGGTGGTGGTGGGTTGTTGTTGTTCTTGCCTTGGTTCTGATTCTGAACTAGTAGTTGCATCAAGGTATTCTGCTGCTGGATCAACTGAGTGAGCTCCGGTGGGAAAGAAAATCCATTGTCACGTCTTAGAGGCATCTGATGGGTTTAGAAAAGGTGAGAAAACAGAATAGAATGAGGTCTAAAGAGAAAACACTACCCAAATGCTCATGAGACAAACACAATCACAACATACCAATCAATTCAAACAAGGGCTTACAATCAGTCTAACTATCGTTGCAAAAGTGCTCGGACTATTCTATATACATGGGGGAAATACTACTACTGATATGGTGGTCGACTAGAAGTTTTGTTCGGTGGAAGACTCCATGGTATCCGCTCCAGCTTCATCAACATAGTCATCATCGCTATCGTCAGGATCAGAATCAGTGACGTCGATGATGATGTAGTCCTCTGAATGAATGTCCTTGGAATGGTCATCATCTCCTCCTAGCGCGGGGTCTCCCATGAATACTCCTAACTTCCTTGTTAGGTCGTCATTCTTCTCCACTAGTATCGTCATTTCCTCCTCATATCCGTCGTGTGTAGACTTGAGTTCCTCCTCTCCGTAATCCTGGTCATTGCCTTCTTCAGATCTATCATGCTTGCGTACATCTGGTTCTCCTGGCGATGGATGTGCTGGTTTAACTCCTGGATGAAATATGCAATGGACCTGTCCCTCCTGGTGCTGATCATCTCCCATTGCTCATCTCGGCGCCCACATATCTGGTAAATAGTGCCCTTAAGATCCTTGTGATAAACTTTTCCAATGTGTCCCATGGCGATGTGGGCTGCCATGCTCTTTCCTAGACTCCAGGTTTGTGCATCAAAGGAAAACTCTATGGGTTCAGTGACTGGCATGAATGTTCTTCCTGGAACTTGAGCTCGAATCATCCAACGCTCCTCTTCTGGTAAGGTGGCGATGTAGGTCCCGGTGAAGCTTTGTGTTCCAATGTTCAGGTACCTAATAACTTCCTTCAAGTGTCGTCCAAAAGGGGTGTCTTCATCAGGTTGTGTAAACTTGTTCCTTGAGTCCACCATCCTATAGAGTGGAAAAGGGAGAGGAGTCAGAAATGAGTAGAGAAGAGTGACCTATGGTTTAACTTAGTGGTCGTGTCCTACAGTCAGCGTGTGCTCTAATACCATCTTGTAGCGACCAGACCTCAAACAGTCTAGTCTCTGTGCATCAGTGTCATCCCTGGATCGGTAATGCTGACACGCACAGTACTCGAGGATTTATAACAGAGTCTCAATCACACACTTATTACATCGAAATGTCTCAAAAGAGAACTTATTACAATAATATGGCTTAAGGCCATCTAAAAGAGATAACATCGGAAGGCTTGGAAGATAAAGTGAGTCCATCAACTCCAACGACATAGTTGAGTGAACGACAATGACCTATGGCACCTTACTTGTCATCTGAAAAGTCTGCAACATGATTTGTTGCAGCCCGAAACAGGTCAGCACATGGAATATGCTAGCAATGTAACACAAAAGAGTAACGTACAGAATAAATGCTATAACTACATGCATATATGGCTGGTGGAAAGCTCTATGGTTACTGTTTTGCATAAAGCCAATTTTTCCCTACAACAAAGGAATATATTTTATTTAACTATCATGGTGGTTGTTAAACATTGAGAAGGTTCCTCCAACTGAATCCCAAATTAAGCAATGTCAGTTAACCCAACAAATTAATTTAGAGTGATGAGATCAACATGATAATCCAAAAACCAGATACTCAAGATGTCCATAACCAGGGACATGACTAACCATGATTAGTTTGTACACTCTGTAGAGGTTTGCACACTTTTCCCCACAAGACTCGATCTCCTCCACTTGATTTCTCGCACTGCATGGTGTTTGAGAAACGGATGATGATACGTCTCCAACGTATCTATAATTTTTGATTGCTCCATGCTATTATATTACCCGTTTTGGATGTTTATGGGCTTTACTCTACACTTTTATATCATTTTTGGGACTAACCTACTAACCGGAGGCCCGGCCCAAATTACTGTTTTTTGCCTATTTAAGTGCTTCGAAGAAAAGGAATATCAAACGGAGTCCAAATGGGATGAAACCTTCGGGAGTGATCTTTTTGGAACAAATGCATACCAGGAGACTTGGAGTGGACGTCAAGCAGGAAATGAGGCAGCCACGAGGGTGCCCTGCGCGCCCTAGGGGGGTGGGAGCGCCCCCCACCCTTGTGGGCCCCTCGTGGCTCTACCGACCTACTTCTTCCTCCTATATATATCCACGTATCCCGAGAACATCCAGGAGCACCACGAAAACCTAATTCCACCGCCGCAACCTTCTGTATCCGCGAGATCCCATCTTGGAGCCTTCGCCGGCGCTCCGCGGAGGGGGAATTGACCACGGAGGGCCTCTACATCATCTCCAAGGCCTCTTCGATGAGTTGTGAGTAGTTTACCACAGACCTTCGGGTCCATAGTTATTAGCTAGATGGCTTCTTCTCTCTCTTTGAAACTCAATACAAAGTTCTCCTCGATCTTCTTGGAGATCTATTCGACGTAGCTCTTTTTGCGGTGTGTTTGTCGAGATTCTATGAATTATGGGTTTATGATCAAGTTTATCTATGAGAAATAATTGAATCTTCTCTGAATTCTTTTATGTGTGATTGGTTATCTTTGCAAGTCTCTTCGAATTATCAGTTTGGTTTGGCCTACTAGATTGATCTTTCTTGCAATGGGAGAAGTGCTTAGCTTTGGGTTCAATCTTGCGGTGTCCTTTCCCAGTGATTGGTTATCTTTGCAAGTCTCTTCGAATTATCAGTTTGGTTTGGCCTACTAGATTGATCTTTCTTGCAACTAGATGACTCGTTGCGCCAATGGCGCAAAGGCCGAAAGGAAGCCAAGTTTTATGAGAATATTTAGACACCCAAGTCGAAAACCAAATGTGGCCAACACTCCCGCATCCTCTGCTTGAAAGCCGCCTTTGCTTGGAAGCCGCCTTTTCACACCGGATCTAACATAAATACATGATTCTTCAAGAGAAAATTTCAAAGAAAATATAAAGCATGGAAGGCTGTAAGTTATACTATTGAGACCAAACCACCATATCTTCATTTAGTTTTGTTGGAAATCTAAAGGTCTAAGAGGATGGTACATGTGAGAAGCTGTGAATCCACAACAAAAAATAAACTAACTTCCAAACAAACATTTCAAGTTTGGAAGCCACAAAAAAGCAGCCCAGATCTCTTGTTGTAGTGCAGGTACATGTCCTTAATCCTACATCCACAACCCATAAATTTTCAGCACATAAATCCACGAAATCCAACCGAAGGAAATCATGGCAGAAACATGCGTCGTGGCTTACGTCTCCGAGAAGGACTTCTTGGCATTCTTGTGCAGGTTGGACACAACAATCCTCATTGGGAGCTGCAGAAGAACCACACAGGCACCTTCCTTCACCTTGCCCTTTGGGAGGAGGGGTGCAACACTTGCAGGCTTTGCGAACGCCACCGGCGAGAGCATGCAGCAGAGGGCGTCGAGAGTGGCAGCAGCCTCCGCCTCGGCACAGGCATAGTGGTCGCGCGACTCAAGGTAGCACATCAAGCGATCGTGCTGGAGTAGCACGCTATGCACAGATGTGTAGGCAAGTAACAAGGATTGGTCAAAGGGAAACAAATTATCCAAAAGAAGAAAGGTTTTATATATTTTCAACGTACCCAGACAAAAAATCAGATGCTTCTTGATTAACAAAATGAACACACAATTAAGTGGTCATAGGAGGTGTACAATCATGTACTGACAAAAATCAGAGGGGTTAGATTATGTTCAAATGAGATAAATCATCAAGGTTCCGATGACAGAAAACGTTGGGCCCGATGCACTCATTAATGTTACAGCACACAGGCAAGCTAGACATCTTCGTCTGGAGCGAATACTTTCTTCTTCCTATATATATGAGAAAGAACACGCACATCAGACTTGAAAGCAAAACGAGCCTGGAAAAAATTGATGTAGTTCAGAGGAGTAACAAATAAAGGAACACAAAAATTCCAAAAATTGTTCAGGGCCCTTTTTGTTCTGCAGAGATTTTATTTTGTAGAATGGCACTGTTCACCACTTGGGGATCACTTATGTCTCGTGCAGACTTACGGTTGACATTTGCCATAAACATTTCTCAAGGATTCTTCACTTGTGTAATATGAAATCCTCGTTTCTGAGATGAATAACAGGATATACGCAGAACCTGGTTTGAGCAGAATATTTATTCTGAGGATGTTGCGAAACCGTAAGGTTCTGAGTGTCCACTACCATGCCAAATACAGTATGAATGACAGTGTCTCCAGTATTTGCCTAAATGAATTGTATGGTTTGAAACAGAGACAACTGAAAGAACAGTGCCAACCTTGGCATCGCAGGGAGACTCACGTTCCTCCTCCGAATTGTCTGGTTTGGAGCAGCAACTGATCCGAGTTCGCACTGAAACACACATACACAAGAAAACATCTTCAATACCTAATTCAGTATAGGCAACACCTTTTTAATGCGTTGGTTCAAAATTTGTGAAAATTACATTACAAATAGTCTAATTTAGTCTGAACATCATTAGAATCTTGTCAAATATTCATAAAATAGCATTAAGTTGACAGAAAATTAATGCTAAGTAGGAGTATATAGTATAGATTATTTTCACCCCCTACTGCATCCCCCCCTGCATGGAATGGAAGAGTACCTCAAAAGCACATCAATCCTTAGCCGGTAGCATTGAGGACGACCTTGAGCTGCACCAGTTATCGTTCATCCCTAAAGATGGCCAATATGGGTTATTATATACTGTACCCCCCAGATGAAGGAGACTGTTGGTTCTGCAACACTAATCTTGACTCTAAACACTGTCACGCCATGAGGGAAAGATTAGCAGCTCAACAGGCATCTCCCTACTAACGGCCTTCCAGGTTTCAGGTTCAGCCATAGAATTGGATGGGCGAATCGGAATCTCACGCAAGTTATTCATCTGGAGTCATGTTTTGTTCCTTGTATGGTCACATCACAATACATAGTCATAGTTGAGCCAGGATTGAAAAGTGAGCATTTATGTATAACATTCAAGGGTTTTTCATAGTAAAACAATATAATACTATCATGTCCGCTACATTACAAATTCTGAGATGTGAAGCATCCAGAATAGCATAATCAGTAAAATAATGGATTGTTATCCATAGCACAGCTGTAGAAAAGAATTACCTTGGCCTGTTTGACAGCAATCATTACATAAAATTTGCCACCCTCTCATGCAAAGATTCCTTTGAAATGACCTTACCTACAATGGAGAAAGAACGGATATCTCAAACAAGCAAACTGATAAGTGATGGCTAACACCCTTTCGGCAGCGAGGAACATGCAATTTTTAAAAACATTGTCTAAACCCACATGCGTATTAGGCATCTACCATTTCTCCTTGGAGATAGCAAGACCAATAGACCTCTATGGTAGCTTGAGAATTTAGGAGTAGTCAAATGGAATTCTGGTGCATAGTTAAACATGAAGACTAAACATCAGATAGAATCATAGAAATTGTAGGCAACGCAAAAGCTGAAAGAGTGGCACTACAGACCGCAAGCAACACATGCAGCTGGAAAAAGGCGGAAAAAGTTGCAAGTATTGAGAACTTTTTTCATTAATTTGCCATTTCTGCAAAAACGGCATAAGGTGACAAAGTATTATAATCTCTCTTAACCTTATACAGAGATTCTTCCCACCAGACTCAGCAAAGTTTATCCAGACTACTTGGCATATCCTGATGAGGTTCCCATGTGCTGGATTACAGAGAACAACAGCTTGTGCCCTCTTAGGGAGCACTGTGATGGATTCATTCCTTCTCCAACCACAAAGAAAGGTGCTTTCATGTCGAACAAATACAAAATTTGCAAATATGTTTCTCAGTCACTACAATCAGAAATCCTAAACAATGAACACTTGTGATGAATCAAATAAAGGTAAAATCAATGTACTAAGGATATAATTTCCAGTTCAGCTCCTTGGAACAAAGGTAAAATCAATCCACCAAGGCTATAATTTCCAGTTCGGATCCTAGGCCTTACATTGTTATAGACCAGGATAGCAAATAACTCAACTGCACATACCAAATGCCAGGACCAGGAGATATGCAGTCAATAAGCTTGGGAAAGAAATGCCTTTCCTTACATCCTTAGAAGTGCTCCTTAGGAAAGCATAGGAGAATAAGAGTCGGCATGCATCATACTATTATCAATACATTGAATAAGCATTCAGAACAATATACTTCTCAACATTTAATCTGTATGGTAAAACATAGGCAAGTATGCTACGCATAAGAAAGGCAAGTGTGCTCTTATTTGGATCATAGAAAACTCAGCATGACTACCAGAATGCTATTATTAACAGAGGCATGATTGGAAATATGATATCTTTGTATGATACTCAGTTCAGTTGAGAATATAGCAAGAAACAACATCATCTCACTCTATAATCTCTCTTCTTTATTCGCATGTTACTTCCCTAAAGCCAACGCCGTGTGGAATCTTCCTCTACAGTTCACTTGTATATACAGGGATCAATTTGATCTTTTTCGCATGAATGCACCAATTTTAATCTTCAACCACAGACCACAGAAAAGAGACCAAGAGGATGTTTTACCCTACCTACATGATACATCTATAAATAGAAAAACTACCCTGGAAATAAACAAATATTATAATGGCATCTGCATGAAACCAATCTTTTCTGACTTCTGAAGTATGTTATTAACTCTGAGGCTTGTTCCGACAAAATACTGAGACATTCATAAACCTTCTTGGCTACCCGCAGCACATAATCTCTTTTATTGACTATGGATTGTTGACTGTACCTATTACCCTGTCAACAAATTAGAGCAAGATACTCGGCTTGCAAAGGTACACTACGTCGACACGCATTCAGCTAAGCTCGCCCCCTTGAACTTGCAAGATGTGTGGGAATCCCACAAGAAAGAAAGGCCTCATAGATCTCCACCCTGCTGAATCCGGTGCCGGCAAGCTCCTTACACTGAAATCAAGTGTCGTCCTGAGATTATGAACACCAAGGAAAAGCCAAACCGTAGCAGCACTATAACGGATATAGACGGCGACGACAAAGGGGCGTACTCGACCTCAACAACCGGTTCCGGCGTCAGCCATCTCCATGTCTTGCGGTGTGGAGGCAGCCCAACATCCACTATTATTTACAATGAACCTTAACTGGACAACATCTAAAATTGTTGCCATATCGGCGAGGAAGGAACAACCAACACAAAGACCCATTAATTTGTCCATACACACGCATATAAAAGAAGCTGAGAAGAAGTTAACAAACTATATAAGTACATGTTGCCATTGGAAGAAAACAACTACCTAGCAGATGGAGACATCGCATTGGTTATATCCCAAAGAAACACCCCTGGCCTAGAAGAAATGGTTTCCTCTAAAGAAACATTATCAAGCAGATAGAACCAAAGATGCATGGACGGGCAAACATATTGATTCACCAGTGCGTACCTCTCAGACAAACCTGCCTCGGAGACGATGATGTTACAACCAACGGCCAGCAAGACCTGCAAAATAATAGGTCGAGCCTGCACATCAGCCCATGCTCAAAGTGAGAACAACCGGGAAAAGGCAGATCGAGGAAGGGGAAAGGGAAACACATGGTATGAGGAGAACAGATACAGCAGCGCCACCCTCTCCTCAACTGAGACTTCTCCACAAGCTGGATTGCGGGGTTACGATGGCAGGGCACCAGAGGAAGGGAGGGGATATGAGAAATTACCTTTGCCATGAGGAGTCACAGGTCGTCCTCGTCACCAACCCCGCACCACCGCGGATCTGCGTCTCTGGTGCCGATGCCTCACCACCGCCCACCCCCGTTCCCATCTCCTCTGGAACGGCCCGCTCCCTCCTCGATCTCCCATCCTCTTCTTTGCTGCAACATCATCGATCCACACCTCCTTGGTCGCCGAACTCCGGTGCGGGGCTAGGATGGGGGCTCCACCGTTGACGGGGAAGGGATCCAGCATTGGTGTTTCTAGCGAGACGGAGAGGCAGGGGAGAACGGCGGTTGTACGGGGGAACGAGGGGAGTGAGGGGGAGGAGGATAGACGCGGGGCTCGAGGAGCCTGTGGGATTGGCGGATAGGCTTTCACCCCCACGTTCTCATCGTCCCCACTGGGGTAAAACTCCTCAGGTTACGCAAAATCTAAGAAAAACCACTTCGTTCTTTTGACCCCACAGCCAATGAGCCCCACCTGACATTCACTTGTGAAGCTGATGTAGATGTATAAAGGGACGGATGGACGAGTAATTGCCAGCAGTAAGATTCGGTACATAGTAAATCAATCGAGCGGTCAAAAAACGCTAGCGCACGCAGATGCCTCTCGAATGGCGGGTACTCTAGCGTGGTTTATAGGTTTAATGGGAGAAGTGCTTAGCTTTGGGTTCAATCTTGCGGTCTCCTTTCCAAGTGACAGCAGGGGCAGCAAGGCACATATTGTATTGTTGCCATCGAGGATAAAAAGATGGAGTTTACATCATATTGCCTGATATTATCCCTCT